GTCTCATTGGCACCACCTCCTGTTCCTATTTAAACACTTCGCTTGTGATAAGTAATGGAATTAGACAACGGGCTGTCACCAGGGACTTCCCCCTAGGATCTAGCCCTTAGGCTGAAATCACCACTTGAGAAAAGAGTCACTATCGGCTATTTTTCTACTGTTCCAACCAGCTCCGCTGGCGGGTCGCTCATTCCTGTTTGGTCAGCCCTGCTGGAAAGAGGCACCCTCCCTCCTCCTCAGCCTTACCTCCCAGCACATGTCAGGCCAGGAAAGGGGTACAGTTCCACAGCCTTCTCCAGAACTTGAGGGGGTGACTGGCTCCCCAAAAGCTAACCTGTGCCACAGAAGCAAAGAAGGAGCTGTCCTTAGAGATTGTGCTGTTCTCTCCATTTCCTCCTCGGATGTCACTCAAGCATCACTGGTGTGGGGAACACAGTGACATTCCATGTCTGATGACTGACACTTCAAGATCCAGGCAAGTAACATCGGACCCTGGAGAAATTAAAGCTAACTCCCACCAAACTCAGCTACAGCCCTTCCACCATCTCAGGCTGACGGCCGCGGACTGTGACCCAGGGTGTGCACAGCTCAGGTCAGTGGGAACAAGGACACGAGGTCCAGGGGCGGGCTCTACCCCAGCTCCACCTCAGGCAAGATTCCTTCTGTCGGTGGGTCTCCAGTTTCCTCTGCTGTAATGGGGACTGAACCAGCATCACGGGTGGTCAAACTCATTTCCTACAGATGCAGTCTAACATAGGAAAGCATAAAAACGGGGCCTGTGGGGCGGTTGGAGGCCCCACCCACGTGGCCTTCCCTGGTCCTCAGGGGAAACCTGAGGCCCCTCCACATGGTGTGGAAGAAGGTGAGTGAGAGTGAGATCTTCCCTGTCTGCTCTCCTTCTGGGAAGTTTTCACCTCAGCCCTGAGGGAGCTCGGAACCCTTCCTCCAGTGGACGGAGCCCAGTGGAAGGGTCTTTCTCTGATGAGGGAGCAGGAGGGAGGCAGGTCGGGCGGGACAGCTCAGTTCTGGAAGCACAGAGGAGTTTTAAAAACTCTAATCGTGAGAGACCTCTGTTTTCCCCTTAGATTCTCAACCAGGAAATGAGTAACGCAGACATTCTCTTTTTCTTTTTTAGGACAATTCATTACTCTATACTCCTGAGGCTGAACTGGTATCACAGCGATAAGAGAGATAAAACAATTAAGCAATTGTCCAAGGTCACGAGATAATTTAGAGATGTGAGAGGAAATATTCAGAGATATTAAAAGATGCCCACCCCCTCCACCATGTCCTCAGGGTCCACATCAAAGGAGAGATGCCAGAAATAACAAAGAGAAGAAAAGAAAATCAGCCACTTGGTTTTTGATTTTCCCAAAACAGTCTTGAAACTTAAAGCCAAGGCAGGAAGAGGCAGCGATGTCCACAGGATTCAGAAGGAATGAGTCAGACCTGCCCGCACACACCTTCACACTCACAGCCAGTACTGATCAAGGTTGGAGCTGCAGAGTGACATTTTGGGAAGAAGAAAAACAGACAGAGGCAGGTGAGTTCCTGGGAAAAGGTTCTGCTTACCACAGTTCTCCCTGTCTCCAGCCCATCTTCGGGGCCTGGGCAGGGAAGAGGCACCTGTGAAACCCCAGACGGTGCAGAGCCCCAGCAGCAGAGAGGACCTGTGGTTTGCTGTCGATAAGAAATCTAACTGGGGGGAGGCCTTGCCAAACTACCCTCTGCAGAGAATAGACATGGCTGCCCAGCTGACCCAAGGGGAGAGCCCTGGGATGGCAGCCTTACCACAGTCTTTCCTGACACTAGGTCACAGGGCATCCTCAAGTTCTCCGTGACCATGAAGGGGGCCAGAGAGGGGCTGTGTGAGGACGAGGGCACCCACAAGAGTAGGACACAGAAGAAAGAGGGTGCAGGATGGCCTTCCTAGACATGGGATCTCAAACATTTCCTGTTGTTTGCAGTGAAGATGAGCGCTGAAGGCCAACGGACTGGAGATGCGAGCACTCCACAAGGGTGGGTGCCAAAGAGAGACGGACAGCACCAGCAGCTGCTTCCCCAGCATCGCAGCTCATAGGCCCCCACCCACCCCCGCCTTTCTAGAATTTTGACAGGACCCTGATTTGACGAAATTGACCTGGAAGTGACTACATTAATGCCTTCATCAGAAGATTGAAAATAAAATATTAACAATAATAATAAAGATGCCACATTCTGACACACCCGCATTGTGAGACCATGAAATGTCATTTCTGCAAGAGGCGCAGAAACAAGACTGCTTCTGACACGGTCCAGAGCCACATGTGCCACCAAGGTCAAGACGGCCACACCCGCTGCCCAAAGCTTTGGGAGGAGCAGGACAGGAAAGGGGAGGTGGACCACGTGGTCGCTCCTCCTCCTCCCTCCACCCCCACAGCTAAGTTGCCAGAAGGAAGCTGCCTTCATGTCACCTCTGACCTCTCCCTCACCCATTGGTCCTCTTCATCCCCAGTGCTTAGCACTCACTGCCCCTCAGTCCTGCGAGAGCTGCATGGAGAGAACTGTCAGATCAGACGAAAAGGTTGGCCTTCCCCTGGTTGATTTTGTCCAGGTAAAATGCTATCAATTTGATCATCCCACATAATGACCCTAGGGGTTTGTCAATGTCCTCACTGCCCATAATATGTCCTTATCCTCCAGGGAAACACCCATCAAATCCGTCTGAAAAAGTTAAGCATTATACCCTGATAGGGGATTCTAGTTTCCTCCACTAGCATATTGTTGGACATGTAATACATTAACTACAGCCATTCAGTCTTATCATCCACAGGTAGTTGCTTCCCTGCCCGCCCTGCTTAGATAACACTCTGCTGTGATCACAGCCCAAGAGGACGGCCTCAGAGCCTCACGGAAAGAACTGTACCAAGTGTGGCCGCGAGACCCTTCGTGCAGCAGCCTCACTGTGACGGGCGCTACTTCTTAGACACACGCCAGATGATGTCAGAGACTGTCATGTGTGGAGTTCCAGGGCTCTTTCCTGGGGCAGGCAACGTCAGAAAAGCAGACTGTTGACCCAAACGCCAGTGGAACACACAATAGTTACATGGGACTGAAGGACTGATGAGGGAAATATACTTTTGATAATTTGTTCTAGAACAGTGTCATTATAATTTTTTATTGTTCTCATTCTGACAGGTGTGTGATGAAGTCCCTCCTCTTTCTTCCTGGTCTAGCTCTCACTATTAACATCGTGGTCTATGCTCCACAAACATTTGGAAATGAAACACTTTTGAATGTTACTCTTGTCCACCCCCCACCCCCCCTCCCCCGCCCCCGAGCTCTCAGAATTCAGGAACAGCACTGTTTTCCGAGTCTCTTTACTTTTAATGGCCGTGTGATTACTCACACAGGCTTGATAAAAATGAGTTCCCATTTCTACTAGCATGTGACTGGCCAAGTGAAGTGCAGGCGAGGCCGTGGCTGGAGCGTCACACTGCAGAGGGAACCGCACTCAGTCAGGGGTGAGAGCCCACCATTAAGAACAGGGCTGCACTGCACTGGGAGGACCACCAGCCTCCCAGGAAACAGGCCTGTTACCCAGCGTGGCGGGTCGGCAACCTCAGCAGAGCCAGTGCCCGCGAGGAGAGGGCATTCACCCCCGTGTATGACATGCAGGCAGCGCGGTGGGGATGTGTTTCTTGGTTTGGTTTCCGTGCTTTGAATGGAAGAGTAAATAAAAGCAATAAACTATGCACCTAGAACAACAGAGGCTACTGGGATTTCCTAAGAGGAGCTTAACGAATCTCCCACAGAAGTTAACTGCTGAGCTCTGTAGTTGCTCCACACCACAGGGCTTAGGTTCTCCGTCCACACTACAAGGAGGGCGGTGGACGGCTGCTAGCATTTCTCACTGCAGTTGTATAAGTGAGTCAGGCCACTGTGCAATGCCATCAGCTTCTTGGTAATCAAGAGTAACCTATGGAGATTATTTGTGACCAGTGACTTATGGTTTACCCACTGTCCCTCCACATTCTGAGTAAATCTCCCAAAGGGCCCTTTAACACAATATTTCTAGTCACCATCATGAACACATTTAGACTTGAACATCACCTATGTGCCCTGAAAAGGCAATACAACCTAAAAAGGGGCAAATGGATAAACACTCACACTCTTTCATCCTTCTCTGTTACAAAGAAAAGACACTAGGTGACATGCGCGAATATGCACACACACACACACACACACACACGGACACACACAGGGACAAGAACACATACAAGGACACACACTCACACACAGGGACACATACACAGGAACACACACACACAGGGACATACGCACACACACTGGGACGTGCACCGTCTTCAATGGACCAGCCAGCTCTAACTGAGAAAGCCCAGGTCCACAGAAGGCAGCCTTCTATCCCAGGTCTCACTAGGGACGCCCCAAAAGGAGCTGAGACCAGTGGGAAGGCACTACTTTCTCCACCATGAACACATCCTCATAAGCCCAGCCTTCCCCTCCTCTCGGCCACAGAAGGGAAACAGCTGCCCTGGGAGGCTGCCCCCGCCTGTGTCCCCTGGCCCTGTGCTGTCCACAAGCAGAATGCACTAATAGGGAAATGCTTTTGTGGGGAAGACTCTCCGCCGTTACGAAATCTCTGCAGTCTCTGTTTTGAAATTCGGCCTTGAGATGTTCAAAGGACTCAGATTAGAGTTCAAGGAAGACCAAGATGTGCCCCAGGGAAGGCCCTGGTCTTAGACGCTGAAAACCTGCCCTTCCTACTTGAGCCAGTTCAACCTCTCAAAGAACCTAGTGCATGTCTTGGACCAGCAGAATTCATTCAAAGACGCCAGCTCTTCTTCTTTCTAATGGTGTGAGATCCCCAAGTAAGCCCCTCTCCCCGCCTGGGCTGGACCAGCTCTGAAAAACACCACTGGGCTGGCATCTGAGCAGAGTTGGCCACGCCCTCCCTGCCCACCCACCCTCCTTCAGGGCCTCCCCTGCGATCCACTCACCATTCTTCTCTGCCTTGTGCTTCGGAGGCTCAGGCTCGGGGAGACATGGGCAGGGCCCGTCACAGAGGGTGCTGAGGCTCTTGCCAGTGGAACAAGCGTGGAATTCCATCTTGCACTGCAGAGGAGAGAGAGGACAGGCCTTAGGGGCAGCTGGGCAAGCGCCCCCTGGGCTTTCTCAGGGAACAGCGTGCCCTCTGTGTGCACAGGGCAAAGACGGGGCGTGCGGAGCTGTCTCGGGTACAGTCGGAATTACAGCACACGGAATGAGACATGTTTCTCCAGGTTCACAGTCACATCTAAAACTGCTGCAGCAGCACAGGGAGGCTGGCTTAGTAAGGGCTAAACACAACGTGACTGTTAATCAAGGTATTCGTCTGGAACCACATCTTGGAGTCCCACAGGCTCCACAAGACCACTTCCCCACCCCCACCCCCCACCCCCAGCAGAGGCAGCTTCTCCACGTTTCCTTGTCCCGAGTGGAGCATGACTGGTCCCTCTCAGCTGCCCCCACGCTCCTTCTGGGGAGGAGAGTATCTACTTAGTTAACCGGTCAGTAACTATCTATTTCCTGTGGTATGTGTGAGGCCCAGCACTTCCCTTTGGAACCAGAGGAGTCAATGCTTTTGTTTAAACCATTCAAACCCAAGTCTGCACAGTCTTTCCCTGGAGGACACCTGTGGTTCGAACCAGCCCGAGGCTGGCGGAAGCAGCCACCTGGTTCTCAGAGTCACGATGGAAGCCCCAAAGCCACCCATCCACTTGCAGCCCTGCCTCTGTGACGACGGGCTACCCCCACCACTTTCTGCTGCTCTTTACTCCTGAGTCTCAACCGATTCAGAACACAGGCGGGAGAGAAGGGTGCTATTCACAGGGGCACAGGCCTCCACAGGTAACAGCCTTTTTTATGCTGACATTACAGAATAACAGACTGGGGCTTGGAGCTGAAATAACAGAAGATGCTGACAGGGGCGGAGCCAGGAGCCACAGGCCTGTCTGACCCATGTCACCGCCTCCATCCTGTGATGGGCTTGAGGGAACAGACAGCGGGCTCTGTGCTCTGGGTTTCTATTGGCTGCATCTGAGCTGAGAGCTCACCCCCTTTTGACTGTAAAATCCTCAAGATCAAGGCCTGTGTGCAGTCAGTCTTCTGCAAAGGCCCTTGGGTTCAGGACCATGTTTCTCTGGTGGAGGTTCAGAGGAGGAGGAGGAGATAGGTGAATTTTACCCCTGCGCAGCTCTTATCTGGTGCCATGGGGGATGGTTTAAAAGAAAGAAAAGAGGAGATACAGCCCTTGCCCTTGGAGAACACTAATGCATGGAAAAGGCCAGTAGCATTTGCAAAGCAGCACACATGAGTGCAGATGAATGCTGGCCCATTGTGAGAGGCCCAGCCAGTCCTCCCCTACCAATTACCCAGCAAGGGGAAGGGCTCTCAGCCGCTTCTAAGTGTCCGGGAGTCGCTCTTGTGGAACTCCTGTCACCACAGCCGCTGCCGACCCGTGCGGGAGCAGCAGACAGGCCTCCAGGGCGCCGGCTCCCTCTTCATGCAGAACTCCCCTGCGTACCTGCCAGGTGTCTAGGATGCGCCCAGTGTGCTCGTAGGAGATGCGGGGCTGGGTGAAGAAAGCCATGGCCCCGGCCTCACACATTAACTGACTTAATGAGGAAGCAAAAACCGGTGTTCTTCTGAAGCCGTGTGGACGTGACCGCGAGGGGAGGCAGGATGGTGTCTATGGGGGGACGCAGCACAGAAGAGGACCCCATGGATGGGCGTGAGACAGGCCAGTGAGCCAGGACAAGCTGGACAGGGAAGCTGAGACAGAGCTGAACAAGCTGGCAGACACTTTACAGCAGACACAGGCCACCTCCTAGAGAGAACATCTAGGCCTCAGTTGTAGTTCAGCTCCAGACCCAGAAAAGCAGCAAACCAGGTGGGCGACACCAGGACCAGCTGCAATGACTAATGACCCCCTGCCCTGACCCTGACCCATCAGTAGAGACCATGGCCCTGAAAGAACATGCCTGGAAAGCTGAGAATATTCTGCTGAGACCCTGCCCCGAGATTCCCACCTGCACGAGAGATAAAAGCCTCAAGACAAAGACCCAGTACACAATCTCCTCTGGGGAGCAGCCCACTCCATTCCCTTTCCCCTCTTCTTCCCTCTCTTCTTCCCCCACAGCACCTGTCCCCTAAACTCTAAGGGACCCCATGAGGCTTGCAACAAGGGGAGCAATGGGCAGCGGCAGCTCGTCCCAGACTAACCCCCTGAACCTGTCCCCAAGGCCCCCTTTTCTCTGACTTCCCAGGGAGCGAAGGCAGCCCAGCCTAGGCTCTCCTGTTGCTTCTTCTGTGCTAAGCCCTTCCGCAGCTTTAATAAACATTCTCATAGTCCCCTGGGCTCGTGTGTGAGCTCTTTCCTACACAAAGTCCAGAACCCTGCCGGCCAGCCCTAGGCAGACCTGCTCAGGGCGAGGTACCCTGTAAGGTGACAGGAACACCTGCAGACCGTCCAGGGGACAGGTAAGCAGAGGAACACTGTCAGCGGCAAGTGCGTCTCCACTACAGGCTTCATTTCAGAGAGCACGGCGCATGCTCAGGTGCGGGGCGAGCGTGAAGACACTGGCCAGCCCCCTCTCCCTCCTCCCCTGGGCCTGCTCTCTGGAACAACCCTCCATTTCAGACTGGCACCCTGCCCCGAGATTCCCACCTATCTGTCAACAGCATCCCCAAAGCTAATTTAGGGGAAACTGTGAAATATTTTTATAAAAATTTATTTTATGAAGTCAAATGTAGTACATTTACTTACCATAAAACCTTATCACACTGCCACTGTAACTGCCTGTTTCTATCTGTGATCGGCTGTCACACTTTCCCCACGCGTCCTCCGGCTCCCTGGAAGAGTGGCCCACACGCCCGCACCGCCCTGCTTACAGCACCCTGGGTTGTGAGCCCACCTCTTAGAGTCCGCCCTGAAGGTGGAAAAGCAAAACACAAACTACAAACTGACATTCTTGGGAACTGATGAGGGACACCCATAAGTCCTCACTGTAGAAAAAAAAAACAAAATTTGGGGGATATAAAAAAAAGAGAGGAGGAAATAGGTATAAAATAGGTATTTTTTGGATTTGGAGTGGAGAGCCAGTCAATGACACAAAACTCCCAAGTGGCCAAAGCTAAGGCAGGCCTGCAGCTCCAGGGGCAGGGGACAGAGACCCAGGGCAATGAGTGGGTCCCGTCACAGGTCACTGCCGCCTGGGGGAGCCCTCCGCCCTCAGGGTCTGAGCAGCCAGGAATCAGCCCTGCTCTGGCCTCCACTCTCCCTCCAGAGGGAAAGCTCTGCACCTTGCCATAGGGGTGAGATTGCATGTCTCACAAAAGATATTTTGAAGTCCTAACACCCAGTATTGCAGAATGTGGATTCAGAAATAGGGTCTTTATAAAGACAATGATCTTATATAATAAAACCCTAATATGCAAATCAACCAAACAGTGGAATGACTGGTCGCTGTAATGTGCACTGCCCTGCCCCCCCAGGGAGGCAACTGGCAGCAGCAATTGGGGGGCAGAGCCAGCCAGTGAGTGGTGCCAGGCCACCAGCCAAGGATGGTGCCAGCAGGGGCCCCCGATCGCCCCACCCGCTAGTTGCCCCACAGATGGCCCTGATCACCGGCCAGGCCTAGGGACCCTACCCTATATATTGGATTTAAATCTCTTAGATTTAAAAATTAAAACCTGGCAAAGCTACTCTAACACTGAAAAAACAGGATGATGCTGCGATGACATACATGGACTCTGGCTTGCACATTTTGTGGTCCGCCCTGATTCTGACACTTATAACTGTGTGACAAAGCCAATTACTTACCTTCTCTCTGCTTCAGTTTTTCCACCCATAAGATGGGGAAAATGGTACTATTGCCTCAGAAGGATCATGTTATGTACTACTTTTTATAATCAGGGCAAAAAAATGTAGCTGCCCATACAACAGCAAGATGCTTTTCACCTGTATGAAAAGTATGGTCACTGGTGCATACAGCGTCCTGGATTGCGAGAGGGATGTCTGTAGGCCTGACATCCCCCGAGGGGTCCTGGATTGTGAGAGGGCATAGGCCAGGCTGAGGGACGCCCCCCACCCCCCTTTAAAGTTCACAAATTGTGTGCACCAGACCTCTAGTGTTGTAAATGAGCTCGTTAGGGTGGGTCATAATCCAATAGGGTGTGCTTTCCAGAAGGGGAACCTTGGACTCAGAGACAGAGGAGTGCAGAGGGGAGAGGATGGTGTGAAGACACAGGGAGGATTTTTTGGCTGTGCTTGCAGCTGCCAGGAGCTAGGACAGGGGCATGAGATGGAGTCTCCCTCACGCCTCAGAAGGAACCAACCTGCCCACACTCAATTCCAGACTTCCACCTCCAGACTGGGACGCAATGCATTTCTGCTGTTTAAAACCCCCAGTTTGTGGCACTTTGGTACAGCAGCCCTAGCAAACGGATGCACCTTCCATCCAGATCTTTAAGAAGAGATGGCCTCTGAGGAATGCAAACACCTGTCTTACTTAGGTTTATAGAGCACAGATCTTGTGCCAAGATGGCTCGGCTCTCCTGGAACGAAGTAAATAACACGAACGGCAGGGCAGCCTCGGGACACAGAGCAGCTGGACGTAAAGAGCTGGGCCAAATTTTATCAGCTGTGACTCCCGCCCACAACAGAGGAAACATGAAAAATTCAAGCCTTTATATTGACTTTATGATGAAGAAGTTAAATAAATAATTGGCCATAACTATTTAAAAGAGGAAAGTTGAGAAAGTAGGAAATCCGTTAAGTATTGTGCTGGGACCCGTTTCATACAAATGCAAATATAAATGTAAATGCGAACCCCGAAACTCCCAGACCCTCGACCTACTGCTGGAGAAGTGCCTCTCCCAGTGTCACGGGGACAGAGAAGACAGGGAGAGCCAGAGATTCACGACTGAGCAGAAATATGCGAAATGTTGACCTACTTCAAAATAAAGGTGCCAGCAGATTTCACAACCAATCTTCCCTCCCGTTTTGCATAACACACCGAACCAGGGAGCCTTCGCCGGCAAAGGGCCAGTAAATCCTTCTCTTCTGTGATTTGTAAAGGAAAACTAATCACCTCTGTCTGGTTCACTGCTCACGCAGGTCTCCCCCGAGAGCAATTCCCCACCACTCACACTCTTCGCTTTGCCTTGCATGCTTTGGGTATTATTTTTAACATTTTATATAAATTGCTTTCTCCACTGTTTTTCATCAACCTATCATCTATTTTTAAACCAGACTGTTGACAGTTCACAGTTGACAATTGTGTTCACAGTTGATGAATTCTGATTTGTTTTTACTCCCCTAAAGTCATGTCAAAGAAAGGGGGGAGGATAATCTCACCGCTCTGCTGTCTTTAGTAATGGGGCACAAAGTGAGTGGCTGCCGACTGCACACCCTACTCCTGAGGGAGGGAAATACAGCCGTCCGTCTCTGCCCAGGGCCCCAGTGTGTCCGTGGTCTAGGGAGGAAGCAGTGAAGAGACTTTAGTCCCATTCAGAGTTTTACCAAAGATTATATATATATTTTCCTTCTTTATTTATTGAGTGCCTACTATGGGCCAGGCCCTAATCTAAGGCCGTGAACCAACAGCAGGACCAAGGCCCTATCTTCATGGAGTTTATGAGGCTGGTGCTGGTGAGGGCTGCGGGCAGGCACAAAGGACAGCGAGAGACAGAGAAGGATGGGGTGGGGACGTGTATTCGACTGCTGTGATTTTAGCATGGACTGTATATTAGGTGAATTGAATAACTGTTCTTGTAGATATAATAATATCTACTAAGATGGTTGTCATGTAGGAAATGCCTGTTTCCTTTCCTTAGGGGAAAGGTGTCCCAATGCCTGCAAATTATTTCTAAATGATTTAGGGTAAAAAGTATATATGTGCAGGGAGAGAGCGAGAGTGAGAGCGAGAGCGAGAGCGAGAGAGAGAGAGAGAGAGAGAGAGAGAAAACACTGCAAAGTGTTAAGAACTGCCAAATCTCGGTGGTGGGTAAACAAGTATACATAGCATTATTCTTCCTCGTGTTTAATAATTATTAAGCCAACAGCTGGGGGAACATAATGAAACTTCCTTTGCCCAGTGGTGCTAGGAAATCTCTTCCCAGAAACCACTCCTACTTGCTCTCTGAACTGCTCCATCTATAGTGCCCGGCCACCTGCCTGCTGCAGGGACTTTCTCCGGGGCCTCCCTGCTAGAGGGTGAGCTCTCAGGGGAGGGGGATGCTGAGGATCTTGTCCACCGTCTGTAGGATTAGCCTAGGACTATACAGAGCAGGCCTTCAGCAAGGATTTGCCAGATAAATGGCTGAGTTCTCCTGAATCACAGTTCTCTCCATGGATGTAAGCCAGCAACACTGAACCCCAGGCCCTTGGACCTGCAGCATTTCAGGTCTTGCAAAGACACTTGTGTTGCATGCAGGACAACTGAGGCTGGAAGAAGAAAGGCATCTTGTCTCAGGTCATTCTCTTAAGTCACTTCTCCTGACCGTGTTTATCTTGTCACGATGTCGCCAATCCTCCTTCAGGGAACGAGGAAGGGATTTCAGTCCCGTCCGTGCACCATCTGTGGCAGG